CCCCCCCCCCCCCCTCCTTAAATGGATCCTTACGTGATGCGAATCCGATCAATTAGTTGGGATCCAATATGTATATCGACCACCAAATGAGAAACCAAAAAGAAATAATCTTACTTTGTTGAATATATATAATATATTAGCTACTTACAATTTTATTTTTCCTATTATACCCTCAATTTATCAACACTGAGTTAATGTTTTTGAAAAATGTACTAGTTAATATGTTTGGAACCTTATCAATTAATAGGGGTAAAATGGTAAACTCACAATACTAATCATTATTTTCTTAATAAGTGTCTTAAGTCAAAATTTAATAAGTAAATAAGGACGGAGGGAGTAATTATACTTTCATGTGTTTCAATTTATTTGTTCTACTTTCCTTTTTAATCTCGTTTAAAAGGAATATGTCTGCCCCCCAAGGCCTAGCTCAAGTGGCAAAAGGTGGAGGATTTGTGGCTTAGGTCGCAGGTTCAAGCCTCACACCATGCAAAACAAAGTCCGATATTTAAGTGAAGAAAGGTAAAAGGGCGGACCCATTATCCACCGAGTTTAGAAGACTATGACCTAAAAAGCGGATCACAGACGAATTTCTCGATTAACAAAAAAATATATATATATGTCTGATGGTTATAAAGCGAAATAGTTGCAAATCATCATCTATTGTTGCACCACAACTTCTTGAATGTTGCTCCTCTTTGTATTTTTAGGTTAATTTTGAGAGAAGAAGATAATTGAATTTTTCAGGGTGTAGAAAATCCCATATGGAGGATCAAAAGCTTTGTTTTTCATATTACTATGTCTCTCAAGTCAGTATGAGAAACTACTGAACTCAATCATTTATACTCGCTATTCTTCATTTTTCTATTGAGATCTATCTTATAGAAGTACTCAAATTGAATCAGTACTCGAGTTCTAGAGATCAAGATTTTAATTTTATGAACCATAGTTTCAACCTCGCTAGAGATTTGAATGCTATTGAAAATTGTGATTCATCTTAACAATTTTGTATTTATAATAATTGTAATTATTATATTATTAGTTGCCATTTGCCCACGAATCAATTATTGTGGGAGCAACCATATAATACATTTTGATATCTTCTTGCCTATTTTGTGTGTGCTACTGATGTCATAAAGTGTGTTAAGTAATCAAAACAAATATCACAAGAAAGTACTAATAACTCCTCAAAACTAATTGAATGATAAACATGCTAAACAACTAAACAACTAAACAATATCATATCATATCTCTGAGTATATTAGAAGTATTAATTAATCATGTGAAAATACATACCAATAACTTCACAGTCAATTCTAGATACTTCAAAACTAACTAGCCTATCTCACACTTGCTTACATGATTTAAATACGTACAAATAACAAACATGTCACGCTTATAAGAAAAGCAAGCAAATTAAGAGTTGAAGTCTTCTTTACCATATAATCAGTAGGTAATTTTTTCTTAAAATGTTATAATTAACTTGTTCAAACGATCCTCAATGACCTCAATCTATACATAATCATGCATACCTAGTCTAAATTAGTCTAAGGAAATTAATTCCATAATTTTTGGGCGCTTCATGGTCAAAGTCAACTCTTGATCATCTCAAATGTACCCCTCAAGTCAATGGTTAAAATTTTGGAATTAATTGCATGAATATGCCACCCCTAAGCTATATATGGAAGACCACCAATTGAGTGAAGTCGTAACAAGATAACTTAATCGAAAGGTGCGGCCCCTTGTTCGAAAGACCCCCACCCCCCACACACACTTCAATTGGTAAAAAAAAAATACTTTTATAGTAATATATTATCTAAAAGGAAAGATAATTATTGTGAAGGGATAATATTACAATGAATATATTGTTATAAAATCTATTGTTGATGTTTTTGTTGATGTCATAAGTATAATATAAAAAGTAAAATATAACATAATTTTTTTTATCCAACTATGAAATTTGATTAGAAAATATAATTAATCGAAAGTTAAATATGTTCGTAAGGATTAAAAATGAAATTAATTGATAATTGAAAGGCTAAGCTAGTGTATTTAGTCGTAAACTTTAGAGATTTATCTTCAAGTATATCTACTATTTAACTATGAAATTTGATTAAATTTTAAAAATATAATCTTCAAATATTTTCAAGTTCTCGTACTAACCAGGTTTTTGGAAAACTTTCGCTCCCATTCACAAATTCAAAACAAATTAAAGTCAAATGCATGTTTAAACGCAATTTAAATTTCAAAAAAAAAAAAAAAAATTCAAATTTCAATTTCTAAATCTAAAACAATCTATAGCCGAAAATTACAACTTTCAAAAACTCATATTTTCCTCGTGTCAACCAGGTTTTGGGAAAACTTCCGCTCTTGCGCATAAAAATTCAAAACAAATTCATGCATGTTTAAACACAATTTAAATTTCAAAAACTCAAATTTCAGAAAATCCGAGATCTAGAACAATCTATAGCCAAAAACCGCAACTTCAAAAACTCAAATTTTCCGAACACGTGTTCCTATAAAAAGCATCACATTCTTCATTTCCCCTTGTAGAATTTTCCCTCCTCTTTTTGGAAGAACAAGAAAATGGCTCTGGATCCAACAGCCTTCAAAACCATCGTCCCGTCCCGGTACATCACCTTCACAATCCCAAATCTTTTGCTTCATCTTCATCACTTCAATGCTTCTCAACTCCGCGTTGCGGTTCTTGATTCTCCGGCGCCTTCAGAACCCGTTCAAATCGCTGCAATGTTGGTTCCGATCGGCCGGGAATCCGATTGGTATTTTTCAACCGAACAAGGTCATCTTCAACTCATACTTAACTTCCCTCAGCTTTCTCGACTTTTTTTAATTGGGAATTCACCGACTTCAACACACCCTACTTCGTATAATCCCCTGTTATGTACCGATGGTGTGGCTAGTGTGGCGGATTCGTCTGTTGTTGAAGAGAATTTGATGCCATTGTTGATTGAGTTGATACCCAGATCGGCATTTTGTCGAACAGGTGATGGGTTGTGTGAAATTCCGTTTTTGAGCTATGAAGATGAGGTGATTCGGAGTTTGGTGTTGGATAGATGTGTTGGGGAGTTTGTTGGAGAGATGTTGATTGAAGATGTTGAGTTGGAATCAGAAGATGGGGGTGGTAGAGAGTTTAGAAGGAGATTGAGGTTTAAGAGAATGCCGAATTTGGTACAAACACAGATAAAGATCCGACCCAAGAACGTCGATTTTGTTAACATGGAGGAAGTAGAATTTGAGATTGTTGATGATGGGGTGTTAGTTCATCCTTATTTGACTCCAATGGTGGCGGGTCTTTCAGTAATCCGATCATTCTTGGACGCGAAAATTGGAAATGGGATAAAGCCAAAAGCTCTATGTTTGGGTGTTGGAGGAGGGGCACTTCTTGGTTTTTTAAGCTCTCAATTAGGATTCCAAGTCTTGGGTATTGAGGCTGATAATGTTGTTTTGGAGGTAGCAAGGAGATACTTCGGGTTGGAACGTGGTAACTCAATACGTTTATGTGTTGGAGATGCACTAGACATGATTGGGAAATTCGCGACTCAAGTTGAAAGTAATGGTTTTCATGGTTATGTTTTGGAGAATGGTGAGCATTTGAATGATTTCGATGATAAATTTGATGTGATCATGGTTGATTTAGACGCGACTGATTCTAATATAGGTATGAGTGCTCCTCCTTTAGCGTTTTTCCAGAAATCCGCATTGTTTGCCATAAGAACATTGCTAAGCAAAGATGGTGTTGTCATCATAAATGTGATTCCTTCAGACCAGACATCTTACAAGCTAGTAATCACTGAATTCAAAGAAGTTTTCGCCGAGTTATATGAGATAGACGTTGGAAATGAAGATAACTTTGTTCTTATTGCCTCTGCTTCAGAAATCGGACATGTCTCCGTTCACCGTCAAAGTAAATTTCTAAAGAAGTTGAAACAAGTATCAGGATCTTTTCTGGACTCTATAAGATTGATCTGAAAGGGTTCTTGGTAGCTCAAGTAAAATTGTGCAGCATATGGAGTTTTCGATAGAAACGACAAGCCAGGACAGAGGCAAATATAATATTTTTTTTGGATGATAGAGAAATCAAATTGTATAAAGTTCATTGAGAGAATTACAAACATGAATTTTGCTTTCATATTGGTTGTTTTTGCATTAATAGAAAGTTCGTGCATTTTTCCTTAGGAGTTTAATGCAATGTTTGCTTGTTGGCATAAGAAAATATAATCTTCGCATAACTAATGCAACTTTTAATTGGTGGCAGTATACAAAATAGAATGTGAGCATTAGTAATGCAGGGATTAAACTATTGAAAGAAATTTTTTAAAAAAAGCACTTCTATCGCAAGTAATTCTTGTATAAAAATCCTCCCTTGTTAATCCCTGTATAACACTGAATTTTCCTTCTAAAAAAAAAAAATTGCGACAGGTGCATGTCGGATCCTCAAAAAGTAGAGCATTTTGGAGGATCCGACACAGGTGTGACAATATTTTTGGAGATCCATGCAACATAGCTTCAAATTGATTGCAAATTTTTCATAATGGTAACCTAGAATTTTCTTATGCAGCAATACCTGGTACCAACATATATAACTTCTAGAGGCCAACAGTTGATCTTCAGAAATTCAAAGGTGGTACGCCCGTGCCAAGCTACCTTCAGCCAGGTGTCTCTTCAGTTTATGCAAGCTCCAGAACAACACTCGACATGCATTCAGTCGGAACTCCTATAGTTAATAGACACTTGTTTTTGGAGCAAACATCAAACATCTTCGTAAGATAATATCACTAGGGGAGTGCTCAATCGACCAAAGGTTGTGTTGAAGGCTCAGTCTAAGTGGGAGATCATTCCTTGAAGAATATAATACAATCTAGAGCAGTCAGCACCCACTTAACTCTACAAAGATATCTTTTTTTTTTATAACCGAGAAATCGACCCACCCTTTGGACCAATCACAACCTTCTAAACTCGGTGGATAATGGGCCTGCCCCTCTACCCGTCTCCACTTAAATATCAGGCTTCGCTTTGGGTGGTGTGGGGCTTGAACCTGCGACCTAAGCCACAAATCCTCCACCTTTTGCCACTCGAGCTAGGCCTTGGGGGCACAAAGATATCTGATTAAGACCAGTTCTTTCTAGCTTTGAAAGGTGTATTACAACCAATTCATTTTTATCTTGATTGTACTATTAGATAAAAAGGTCAAAACAACAACAATAAACCCAATTTTATCCTACAAGGTTGGGCCTGGGGAACATAGAATGTAGATAGACCCTTAGTCCCTTACCCCTGCCCTAGCCGAAAAAACGAACCCGGGTCTGTACCATGGTAGGGTACTATTCTACCACTGGTGCTAGATTATACAAAGGTCAAAGCATCAAAAGAATTTATGTAGTCACTGCTCATAACCTGTTTGCACAGAAACTGTGCAACTTCAGTTCATGCAGTTCTTCCACAAATGCAGCAGCACACAGGAGCTCCAGTTTAGTACCTAATGCAGGTGATCAGAGTAAATGCTCTTTCAGATCAAAGTCTTCTCCAACTAACTTGAGCTCAGCTACACTCGACGAAAACTTGATACAACCTATAGTGCATCCATTTATGTCTCGTAATTAGGCCATGTGCTGAGTTAAACCGATTACTTGTTTATATACTTTGCAATATGATTTGGAGCTGTAATCATCTATGGATGAATAAAGCTCTCATTTCTCTCAGAAAACTCATGGCTATTTGAAGCTCATTGCAGTATTCTCTTCAAGTTTTCTAAAACAACCACAAACTATTCTCTTTATCCTGATTTATGTATGCTTTTTGGCATCATCAAGCACTCATAAGGCGGAGCTAGAAGCAAATGTATGGGTCTAACCAACTAGTTTTAGTTTAAACTATCAAGAAATTCACTAAATACATACAAAACTTAAATTCAGAACCAAGTTACTAACACTTAATATCGTCATCCTAAAAATTAGAACCCATAAAGTTCAAATCCTCGTTTCGCCTCAGCCAATCATCGAGTTCTTATTTCTCAAGTTATTGCTCAAAGATCCATTAATTTTCCCTTCTTTTTTTTTTTCTAATACTTCATCTGTTAAACAATTGATTGGTTCTAAAACTGGCAAGTAGCTGAAAGAAAAACAACAACACACCCAATGTAGTCCCACAAAGTGGTGTCTGGGACGGATAGAGTGTAGTAAGCCGACCTTACCTACCTTTGAGGTAGAGGGAGAGGCTGTTTCCGATACACCTCGACTCAAGGAAAAACAGTCCAGAAAAGATAAAAACAACAAACACAGAAACAACAAGAGGCTGATAAAAAAAAAAGGAACTTTAGCATATAACCAAGTTTCAATTTACTTCTGAGCTAAACAAAATAAAAATACTATCTTTACACTAAAAAATTAGTGCAATTACCCAAAAATAGCTAAAGCAGAGTAATAAGAATGAAAATTAAAAGAGCAGCAATAAAAGAGTACTTAAGAGCAGCAAGAAGAATAGCCAATGCAATCACAAACAACTGCCACAATATACTTACACTAGCCCATGTCAACAGACCCGTTAACCCAACTGCCACAATATTATCCGGGTCAGGATCCAACAAAAGGTCCATCCATCTCAAATTCAATCTGGGTTTTCCTCCACCATCACCATTACCATCATTACTTCCATTTCCATTGCTGGAACCATTGTTCTTCAACCCATTTTCTTGATTTTCAGTATTGTTGTTCCCATTCTCTGCTGCAAAAACAAGAAAGTGTTTTCTTTTAGGGCAAATCTTTGATTTGGGGGTGTGAATTGGGGAAAAAGAGAAATGGGTTCTGGTGATTGAGGGGTTTTGAAGGATTGGTAGTGAATAGGAAGGAGATATGTACATTGAAATTGCCATGAAAATGTAGGAAAATTGATTAGAGGTTCAAGGAAAATGGAGAGGAATTAAACAAAAAGGCTTTTTATTTAGCTAAAATTATGATTTGACCTCTTTAAGCACTTTGGTCCTCAAAAAGTTTTAAAATGTTGCTCATACACCTTATTTTTATCCTTTAAAACCAATAGTTGTGGTAGTTTTAAAATAGGCTTAAGTCATATGCAGCCCATTAAAGTTATCCGCATATTTCACTTAAACATCTGAACTAGAGGTTGTTCCTATTAAACACCTCTACCGTTCAAAACATGTACCTATTAAATATTTTTTGATGACATGTCATTATAAGTATAATACAATTGTAAGTTCGCGCATGAAGCCATAATTTATTTTTTTGCTGACCAATAAAAAATGGGCATATCAACATAAGAAAAATCATAATCTGAACATAGTTTTTTTTTTAAAAAGAAAAACCCAGTTGTCTTCTCCAACTCATCTTCCCCAATTGAAATTCTCAATTCAAAATTACTTGAACCTCATCGACCAAATCCCTTTGCTACCATCCCTCCACACGCCCCTTTCCCATATAATCCTTCATTCATTTTTTCTTTCTAGCATCATTCCGTTATCATCAATATCATCATCGTTGTTCACTTCATTGGAAAAACATCAATGAAATAAATAACCAGTAAAAACACAAAAAGATCAAAATAGTTTACTGTTAAAGATTTTCATTTGAGTTGTGAAGAGAATTTCATCAAAAATAAAATCAAATTGAGTCAAAAACAATTTCGACTAAACTTCGTTTTTTCCGACAAAACTAATATGAATCTGAAGTTGTTTTATTATATAATTAAGAATGGAAAGGAAAAAAGGTGGAATAAGGATGGTTATCGGAGTGTACACAATTTTAGTTGTCGATCGATGTGTGTGTGTTCAGGCAAAAAAAAATAGGGAAGGACTGAAGTCGAGGGTGGGTGGGTTGTTTTGTCATGGATACAAGTTACAATCTCTCAAGAGATACTTCAGGCTATTATTCGTCCTAACAACAATCTTACTGCTCGCGAGGCGTGGCTACAGATTGAACGTCTTTTCCGTGATCATGCTAGTTCCCGAACTCTCCAACTTAAGGTTCAATTTCATAATCTAAAGAAAGGTTCTCTTTCTATCTCTGATTATGTGCACCGCCTCAAATCCATTGTCGATGCCTTGATATCAATTGGTAATCCTATCTCTGATTCAGATCTTGTTCTCCAAGTTCTTTCTGGCCTACCTTCCGAATATCTCTTTGTTAGCACTTCAATATCCACTAGAATTCCACTTCCTTCTTTTCTTTAGACCAGATTTTTTTTATTTCTTCATGAGACTCAATTAAATGGTCTTTCCTCTGCCGCATCAGATTCTTCTACTGCTTTACTAGCTAAACATAATTCATCTTCTCAAGGACGTGGACGTGGAAAAAATTCTAATGGTGGTCGTCATGTCAATGGTGGTCGTGGTAGAGGTCGCAACAACAACAACCATAGAAACTATTCCACTACTCCTCTCCAATTTGCTCCACATCCAAATGTTTCTTCCATTCTAGGTCCAGCTCCACACACTAGTCCTTCTTCGTTCTATCCTAGTTATCCAGCAGCACCTTCTCCTTTTCAATGTCAATTATGTTTTTAACCTACTCATACTGCAAGAGATTGTCCATCTCTTGGTTCTAAAGCACTCTTTTATGATCTTCAATCTTTCTCGTCTACGCATTCTTATGATCCGGCAGGTCATACTCCTTAGTATATTGACACGGGAGCGCCTCTTCACACATGACACCTAATCATTCGCATCTCTCTTCTGTTCAACCCTATAATGGTAATGATTGTGTTATGGTAGGTAATGGTAATTAACTCCCCATCTCTTATACCGGTAATAATACATTCTCTACTCATTCTTCCACTTTCTCTCTAAAAAATGTTTTAGTTGTTCTAACTCTTTCTTGCAATTTATTGAGTGTTCGTAAATTTACTTCTAATAATAAATGTTCAATTGACTTTGATTCTTTTGGTTTTTCAATTAAGGACTTCTAGACGAAGAGAATTCTTCCCAGGTGCAATAGTTCGAGTCCCCTTTACTCTTTCTCTCCATCAACTCCTGCGGTTGGTGCTCATCATGTTTTTGTTGCTTCCCATGCTTCTCCAACTCTCTGGCATCGTCGTTTAGGCCACCCTAGTATAGGTGTTCTTTCTAGTCTAGTTAGAAATAATAATTTGCAATGTTCTTTTTCGAAGCATTTAGATTTTCTTTGTAATGTCTGTCAACTTGGCAAGCACACAAAACTACCATTTAAGGAATCTATATCTTCTTCTACTTCTTCATTTGAATTGATTCACAGTGATATTTGGACCTCTCCAATTCCTTCTTTTACTGGTTTTCGTTACTATATTTTTTTTCATGACGATTATACTAAATTTACATGGGTGTTTCCAATTCGACGCAAATCAGAAGCATTTCTTATGTTCAAAAACTTTTACTCTTATGTTTTAACTCAATTTTCGGTCAAAATTAAATCACTACAATGTGATGGAGCTGCCGAATACGTCAAACTTGCTTCTTTTCGTGAGTTTTTAAATTCAAATGGTGTTTGTCTTCGCATTTAATGTCCACATACTCACCAACAAAATGGTAAAGCCGAACGAATGCATCGCACTATACTAAATATGCTTCGGTCTTTACTTTTTCAATCTTTTCTTCCATCTTAATTTTGGGTTGAAGCCCTTGATACTGTTGTCCATCTCTTAAATATTCTACCTTCTTCAAGTTCAAGTTTAAAACTTCCTATGAACTTCTTTTTGGTAAACAACCGTCGTATCATCATTTACGTGTATTTGGTTGTTCTTGTTTTCCTAATCTTCGTGATTACGTACCACATAAGTTGAGTCCTCAATCTAAACATTGTATTTTTCTTGGTTATCCTTCAAATTATAAAGGTTTTAGGTGCTTTGATCCTTTAGAAAATAAAGTTTTTATTTCCCGTCATGTTATTTTTAAAGAGGACTCTTTTCTATATCCTTCCTTAATTTCTCAGTGTATATCTCCAAACACTTCCTTATCTTCCTTTAGAAGTCCATCATCACTATTATTTCCTTCTCTCACGTCTCCAAATATTTCTCTAACTTTATCTCAAAATAGAGTTTTCAATTTGCATACTTCTCCTAATCTGGAACACTTTAGTCCCCTGCCGACACATTCCTCGTCTTTCTC